TATAATTTATATATATTTAGGTATATATATATGTATGTATATATATGTATATATATAATATACATATACATATACATATATGTAAATAAGTATGCACGCAATCACCAACAAATGTTTTTGAAGTCGCACATGTACACACGAATACACCAACACGTGTACATATATTTATATATGAAGGCACGCAAACAAACAAGTATTTAGGCGTGCGAGTTTGTATGAATATGCTTTTGTATAGGTTATATATATATATATATATATATAATATATATTTGTATATACGATATATATATATAATGTTTACATATATATATATTGATACATATACATTTATATATATATATATGTGTGTAAACATGTAAACATATACATATATAAACATACATATATGTATTTATATATATATATATATATATATATATATTGCTTCAAGCAGACAAACACACACATGCGTATATACAGACAAGAACTCACATATACGCACTTACAAACACACCCGCACACATACACACTTATATATATATATTAATATATGTGTACATATACACACGCACACACACTCACACACACATATATATATATAAATATATACATATATTACACACGCACATACACACACACACACACACACACATATATATATACATATATTTCACACGCACATACACACACACACACACATATATATATATAAATATATACATTATATTACACACGCACATACACACACACACACACACATATATATATATATATACAAATATTACACACGCACATACACACACTCACACACACATATATATACCTTTTTCGATGTATATTTATATATGTATATATAGATATATGTTATATAATTATATATCAACGATTAGATGTATATACGCGCGCGTATATATATATATATATATGCATTTATGTGCACTTACGCATATACATATGTTCATTTATATAGTAAATTTGTTTGTATTGTATGCCTAGATCAAGGGTGATCTTTCTCAGCAAGAGTTTGCTCAAGGATATCCATGTATAGAGCTTTAGGTTGTTTTCTTACTTTGTCTGCACACCATTTCCTACTTTATCCCTCTCATACCTGTTTTGATATTCGAAAAACTTACTGTTCAGTAATGCGTATTTAACCACTCTTTGGGTCGCATACCATCGGACAGTAATGCTCGTGCTGTTTCTCACCGTCTTCATTGTATCCATACTACAGACGCTTATGGCCATGTTGCACGATCGCAAATACCTTGTGTCACAGACCGAGCTGGAATTGAGTTTCAATCAGTTCCTAAGCCAATTCACAACCAATCCTCAGTATGTGCTTGCTCGTGCGTTCAGTTTTCGTAATTGCTTGGTACCGGCCGTATTTATTAGAGTCGGTGTGTGTATTTGCAGTAGGTACCATATGCTTTGCTGTGATTTCCCGACATCTGTTACTTCGCAGGAGTTCGCTCCCACTAAAATACAGTACATTTATGAGGTCTGCGAATGTTCGGATGTGTACTCACACATGCTGAACCTGCTGCACGTCAATTTGCAGGAGAGATGCACTACGTATCCTTGTATCACAACGAGACGATCAACGGCGGAGGTTATATGTATTCTTTCCGGAAGACACAAAGCTCGGTATACCTCACATTAAAGCGTAAGTTATTGAGTGTGTGTATGTTTGTGCTTGGGTTCATTGATATACGATTTCATCTTCACTTCCAGCCGATCTTTGGGGATTAGTTTTCGTTTGGATCTCGAACAGCGTGAAATTTTGTCAAAGCGGAAGAGAGCTCAAATTACTGCTAAATAATATGTCATATTTGTACAATCCTATGTACCAGTATAGCTTCTTCATGTAGTATTGGGTATGTATGTGATTGATATTGTACATAGCCGGAAGATGTGTTATTCGAGTCTTTGGCGTCGCTCGTATCCTGCAGCACGTGTGGTTTGTACCTAACCTTGTTGTTGTACTTCGGGGTTTAATCATATCTACAGATATTCAGAAGAGATGGAACAAAATAATGTGGACCGAGGCATCATTGTGATCAGATCAAGTATGACGCCGTTTGCGAAGTCGGTAGGTATTTCGACTGTCTTAAGCTGCAGAACACCACAGCTATTTGAAAAACCTTTTGTTCTCTCGGCAGCTCGCATATTGCTGTTCATGTCAAAATCAACTTTCAACACTTTTAGACTGCAATGCGACAAATCGTTCGGACTTCAAATTAAGCTTATACTCTGTAACAATTGGTCAGTTTACCTGCTTATACTCTGTAGCAATTGGTCAGTTGACCTGCTTATACTCTGTAGCAATTGGTCAGTTGACCATTTAATGTATAAATTAGTCAAACTCATGCTTTAGGCAATATACGGGCCTGCTTGAGAGTATGGGGATATTTGTGTATCGCCGCTGAGCATGGTCTCATGTCATTCTATAACTGTGTTAGGTATGCGACGAAAGCCTAAAACCCTACACCCAGATATAAATATCATAAGGCATGTCTGAAGGTACTTTCTGTGTAGGTCCAAGGTGAATGGGCTTCGTCTGTGTATTGCCTCGTGCATTGTCTGGAGGAGAGTCCACCTCGAAAAGACTCGACTTCCTTTCAATACTAAGTTTTTAATTCTATTTCTCGCTTTGCAGAAAATAGACAGTCTCAGACCGAAGATAGTATTGGAGTCCTTCTTAGAGGCGGAATTGTTAGTAAATATAACAGAGCATTGTCTGGTCCCCAGACACATTGTACTGAACATCGAGGAGAAGACTACACTGTTAAAACGATAGTATGTCCTATTTAGATATACTGTGGCATATGAGCTTATGCATGAAGTTTGAAAGTGGTTGTGCAAGTAGTTGACGAGCTAATGTCTGAAGCAATAGTGTTCATCAAGATCTGCGCAGTTGTTTAGTGATATGCATGTTTTCTGGCTGATATGTTTTTGTGGTCAAAGTTTTTATTACAGGGAGAGTTGCTGAGGCGCTGACTAGTATGTTTAAGCTGTTAGTGTGAACCCTGTATATGTCATGTGTCCTAGACGGCTTTAGGGTTGGTGAATTATATCTGTCGAGTTGTGTCTAAGCATAATTCATGATCATCTTCATTATTTGTTGTGTACAGGTCTACCCTGAGACATGTCAGCCTTGTAGTCTGTTTTAGGGTTTTAGGCCAGCCTTGTAGTCTGTATTTTGTATCCACCTTCGTATAAATTTCGGTTCCAGTTAAACCTTTTTGCTTCCACCTAAGCGTATATGTCAAGTACCTTTAATTTCTATATCCGCTGCGTATAGTGTATCATCTGCTGTCTCGTTCATATCTCACCTCTTTGTCGTATCCTTATACCCTCTGTGCAGTAAGCTTAAAGAGACCCAGTTACCCCGTATGCAAAGACACGATCCGGTGGCACGTTACTTTGGACTGGATAGAGGCGATGTAAGTCTAAACATTTTTGAATTGTGTGCGCTTTTCTTAATCTTGTTCGTAGTGATAGACGCTAATATATGGACGCAAACATGTACTCGCATGGGTTTCGATAGACATTGTATACAGTATTGATTATTCGATCCTTGGGTATGCTGGTGCCGCTGGTGCTAAGTCTCATATCTAAATACATTTTATAATTTGTATGCTTTCAGGTTGTGAAAATTATCCGACCTTCCGAAACTGCAGGTAGATATATGACATATCGTCTGGTGATGTAACCTTGGTAACTGTTTACCTTGGTTTCAAGTCGCTAGAGCCTTCCGTTTGGTCTCAGCCTACGTCATAAACGAAATAAAATATAATTAATGAGAGCCCTTTTTAATGCTATGCAGCGAAGATCTCAAATAGCTACAAAATCGAACTGGTTCCGGTGCAGCAGGTGTCATTTATTGGCATCAAATACGTTACCTATATAACCTGTTTTAACATGCGAGGCCAGCTATTACTATGTATGAACGTGCTGGTTCTGAAAGGGTTTTTTATAGCTCGAAATTTTACATAATTGCGATTCATATCTTGACAACCTGGTCAGCTTTGTGTCGGTTGGATATGTTGCAATCTATAGTGAAGGCCAGATTTTGCTTTTGTTTTTTTGTTCCCTTCTTTTGGCATGTAATTAGGCACGGAAATACCTTCCGTTGCTCATACATACTCGCTGTGATACAAGTACATTTATTAATTCCACCTTCCGCTACGGTGGAACCAAACATCTGAAGAGAAATTTAAATAGTATTTGTACGTACATATGGGCAGTTCTTTTTTTTTGGGGGGGGAGAGCCTATTAAACGGCTACCGCAACCGTTGAACGGCAAAAAAAAGGTTGAATTTAACGACACCCCCAGTCTCAGACCCCGGTCGAAATATAGCATAACCGTTTAGCTTTCTAATGAAAAACGTTCTGGTTTTTTTGTTGTTGTTGGAAAAATAGAAACGAACTGGGGTAGGCGAGAGCACGCTGCGCGGTAATTATTACAGCGTTACGTATTCTTCGCAAGTGTTTTTAGCAATATTAGCATTTTTACATCGCTGTTACAGAGGTACAACTTGAGAGAGGCACGCATCCGCGTGTATATTTACTTATTCACCTCTACGTACATAAAATCAGCCAGCATCATGTCAACCGTCACACGTAAGCTCGTACGTGTCAAGCGCAGACGTGGCGAAGACCCCTTGGACACCGTAATCTTATCCACAACATCCAAGAAAACCAAGTTAGATCAGAGTGGTGGTTCGTCAATCCTACAAGAGACACAACAACAGAATGGTACAGAACTACCTTCCAATGGATCGCATACAAATGGGGATGATACAGTCGATGTTGGCAGTAGCACTGATGTGCCAGCAGTGGCTTCGAAAGGCGGAGGCGCGGTGATTAAGCGAGTGTTCAGATTCTGTCAAACTTTGGAAACGGAACACGGCGAAAAGGCTAAGGCAAGGGATTTTCACGACCGAGAATTCCAACGCAGCCAAAACATTAATAGAGGAGATATAGAAGAAATGCCTCAATCACAACCACAGTCACATACACACACACACAGACACACTTATAGGCAAAGTTCGAGTATGGATGCGAATGGTCATAGAATATGTAAGACTAGCGAGAAGACCAATATAACCATTGCTGATCTGCGTACGAAGTCACGGCGAGAGAGGCAAGTGAATGTCAAAGCAGCCAGGTATAAGACCGTCCTCAACAAACGCTCTGGGTTTATAGAGATGTTCCAACCTATACATGAAGATAAGTCACGCATGAATAGTATCAGTAATAGTAGTAGGAATGCGAAAGGAAAGATACCTACAGTAAAATCATCGGTGCCGTCACAGACCTTCGGCGTGGATGAGGTGGACGATGATAAAGATGAGTTTGTGTATGATATATATTATGAAGATAGAGAAGAAGTGAATACAGATGATATGGCTAGTCAAGATGTAAGTCTGAAGAATCTTGAAGGGTACTGCGTGCAGGTTGAAGCGTTCGAGGAAGATCTGATGGACACGGCGAGCGGGGGTGAGGAGTACGCAGAGTCACAAGGTATGCATGAAAGGTCAGGCAATGCTCTGGTATCGTATGTACGTACGTACGTATGTATGTATGTATGTATGTATGTATGTATGTATATATGTATGTATGTATGTATGTATGCATGTATGTATGTATATGTATGTACACACACACATACATACATACACACACACACACATACACACACACACACACACACATATATATATATATATATATATATATACTATATATATATATATATATATACACTATATA